TGACAGTTGTTTTCCATTCGTTTGATGTGTTTGATCTTTTGATTTTGTCATTCATAAGGGACTTTCAGATTTGAATATTCCTTAAAGTTCGGTATTTTTGTAATTTTCCTTTTTTTCATACCAAAAATATACGTATTATGAGCAACACGATTTGGCCAATTATCAAGCAGGATCTTCCTACCCTTCCGGAGCCCCTGGGAACAATTGTAACAGTACTTACTTTTTATACAGTTTTAACGTGAGGTGCATGGGTAACGAGAAAGGTTTTGGCGCTTCCTGCGGGTGTGGTTTTATAGTGCTATATGGAGTTTAGGATTTAAATGCATCAGTATCGAAGTTTCTCGCAGTTACAACGATTCGAAATTAGTTGCTTCTACATTTATAACTTGTATCTAAGACCCCGTTCACACTAGCATTTTTTTTAATCGATCTAAATAAAACCAGTTAGCGTTCACATTATCTTTAATCATAACGATCTCTATCAGTCTACTCTGAACCACTGCGTTCACACTACAATTAAAAATGCAATCGATCTGACCTAATTACCCGTAAAACTGCAAACACTGTGTATAAATAGAGATAATTAATCAAATGTATGTGTTGGTACACTGATGTGTACAAAAATGGATGAAGTTATTGTTTCTCTTGAATCACAAGTTCAAATTTTGATACTAATGTTCTTACAGTTTTCATTAATTTTGAAACAAAAAACTACAGCAAGAAAGTTACGATATTAAAAAATGCTGCGGTTCCTGAAAAGAAAAAAAAAAAAAACAACAGAAGAAAAGAAGACAAAGATTTTGCAAATGTATGCTACGGCGAAGACAACTTTTTCCGTTTGTTTTTACTTGCATGTACACAAATGTCTGTTAACAGAGAAATATGGGTTAAACAAGGAACCACTGATATATATACAGGGATGTTATGTTATTACACGTGTAGTTTTGCCACTATACATGCGCATAAATTATTTTCGATTCAATCGTACTAGTTATAACCGATCTTTGCGTTCACATTTCAAGTTAGATCGGTTCACTTTAGATCGATTCAAACTAAACTACCTCTTTTGGTGTTTTAGTTTAGACTGATAAAAGATCGATTCAAAGCGTTCACATTAGCCCTTAAACCGATCTAAAGTGAACCGATCTAGTTTAAATCGATCTTAATGTCCTAGTGTGAACGGGGTCTAAGAGATTTTTGGAATTGCAGAAGGCTTTACAATTAATTGAAATAAAAGTTATATTGCAAGCAACCGATCCTATTTCTGTGTTTATCTTGTTTATAGCGAACCGAATTTAGATTAGATTTTTTTTTATTTGGACAAACTAGTGTCCGAAGAGTATTCATTCTTTACTGAGGAAACCTGCAAAGAACGTTCAGCAACTGATAAATAATGTTCTTTTAAATTAAAATAATAATTGCATTTGGATCCAAGAAATTGAAAGTGTATATATGAATTAATATATCTTCACGCTGCAAAATTAATAAGTTGTCTGAGCAAAATAATCAATTATACTGTGTGTGATATGATTACATTACATTACATACCGTTACAAAAATGTATATGTACTATATGCTAAAAGGTAGACCGTATTTGATTGAGTTTGCTGCATATTATCAATCATAACGAACTACCTATGCCGGGAGATATTATTTCAAGTGAAAAAAATAATTATATTAGAAATATATAATGGACACAAAATTTGCAGATTATGTTTTTTTTCTGTAAAATTGCACAAACAGACATTTTGATATGAACCATTTAAAGCAGATAGCAAAGTTGTTAATTCCAAGAAACAGTTGACTATTAACTCGATAGTAACATAAAAGAAAATCTATGGATGAATTTGTTATTTTCGAAGAAAATGCAGACTTCAGTTGTTTTTACTAAACGTTAAGTTTGAAACAATAGTTTAAAAATAAATAAAAGTGTAAATCAAATGCCATCTACCAGTAGCTATGTCATAATGTATGAAGTAAAAAGATAACGTATGATTACCAATGAGACAGCTCTCTACGTGCAAATAAGCAACTTTACCTCACCATATGGCTTTTAACAATGAGCGAAACCCATACTGCAAGCTATGAAAGGCATGTTTATTCAAAACACTAATTTGTTTTCTGACAGACACTGAAAAATGGTATATATTAGAATTTTGTTCATCTTAAACAAATACATCCTTACCTTTTCAAATACTCGGCTTTGAGATTGCCTGATGAAAGTAAATCCACAAAAGCGCTTCGGACGCAAATAATTTACAAAGTATTGCTGTCAGTTTTTTGCAGTTTACTTTCAAAACATCTTTGAATATGCAAATTGTTTAAGACTAATTTAAAACAGTGTTGATAAAAAATAATGGCCATCACTAAAATTCTTTAAAACTTCAGACTTAAAAAATAAAACGGAAGAAACATAAAATCATAAGTCGAGAGAAATTCACAACCCAATGACAAAACAATATCTACGATTAGACAATCACGTTCAGAAAACATTACGTAGAAAATTTTTGTTGCTCTCAAATGTATAGACTTCATAACATTATTTAGATATACATGTATTTTGTTCAGAATTAAAAGTCATTAATTGGAAGGAATGATATGTGCACTATCTGATCACATGGTTTCATTATTTTCAAATTCATTTGAACTTTAGAATTACACATTACAATAACGAAACTACCAAATAACTGGCTTAAAGTTCAGGGTAATGCAGTGGTTGCAGTTTTCAAAGCAGGATAGAATCATTCTGTTATTCCAGAATACCAGATATTGTTAATAATTCATACTGAACACGACTGACTTCTTTATAGTATAAAGTAATTTCGGCAGATAGCCCCTGTTCAAAAGGGCATTCATTTGACTCTGTAATGTTTTTATAACCCGTTCTTAGCTTAACATTCTGCTTGATACTGAAATACATGGATGATAATGCGATAGCATACCATATATAACATGTATTAATAGCCTATCTTTGTATACTTCAAGTACACAACTATAGTCAGAAAACAAAATGTATCAACAAGACTAGTGTTACGTCTTACAAAGTCTACCCGAATTATTTGCCGTAAACATACATTAGTTTCTGCCGAGATAACTTACATATTTCGATGTGCTCTGTGGTTGTCTAAATGTTTGTATTGTTTTTGAACACTTCTGTGTAATTGTCGGGCTAAATTATGATCGTAAATGTTTGATTTCTTTGCCAGATTTAATTTATTGATATTACTCCATGGCTTTGTTCTTCAATTCACAATTGTGACGTGATCGTCAGTTTGCAAAGAATTCCGCTAAAAACCGGGAATAGGGGCCGTCTTAAACTTGCAGTGATGGGAGCGTTTTTTGTTCCATGTTGAAGGCCTTACTGTGACTTTGAAATGAAGAACAGCAATAAAAACGCTGTTCCTTTGCTATATGTGATTTTTTGCTGTCCATGATTTTATGTCATGGATGGCTATCCCATATACTTTCTTTTTAATTGTTAAGTTGGGAGTAAGTAGATTGAATCTTAATCCTGTCGGGAAAGTAGAACACACAGGGTTTCGTTATCGTATCTAAGACATGCAGTAAACGCCTCCTCCTATCTTCCCAATTCTAATTGAGATTGACCATATTATTATCATTTTGAATTTTTGTCACATGATCGGCGTTACAAAACTATTGCGGTCAATTTTGAACCAACGTATATTCTGGTGCCGTTGGCAAACACTTTCTGAATATGATGACCACCCCTCTACGATTGTTTTTAGATTTTTTTTCTGTTAATTAGAGATCAGTGAAAAACAATATCTATAACTTCTATTAAAGGTACGATATTTTAAATAAGTTACCGGATTCTAAGACACAGTCATTTAGTGCTTACCTGCTTTGGTTAAACATAATGTTTCTAATCAAGAGTTTTCCAGAATGGGTTTGTGACTATGATAAGAGAATCAGTGGACGGCCAAATGAGAGAATCGCTTCGGATACATAATCCAGAAAAGGATAATTGGTTTATTAGTTCCAGAGGGTACCATTCAAAAAAGGGATAGTGATTTTGCTCTTGTTTGGTTCATATAATCATTTTCTCATTAAAATATTCAGTTTACTTACAATTTAACTGTAATTATTCTATATTGATTTTTGCTCTACGTTTTATGACACTTTTATTAAGATGCTCTTCTTAGTGTCTGAAATCCGAATCATATATTGTTTTATATTATATACGAGCAGTCTTTCGACGATATTTAGCGAGAAAAATTGTAACACGTACATGTTTCCAGCTCCTCGTTCTGATTTTACTTGTTTTTAAGGAATAAAAAAATCCGCTTTCGTTATTCCACTGCTTTTTTCAATTTATGCTTTATTATTTTTCTTTCTTCACCTATTCTTTCGTACTTTCAAATTACTGATAAAAATAGGCGCCGTTGTTGTTTTTATTTTGTTTCATGAAATTAACTGTAATTAAAGAATTTCTGTTTACACGAGGAATGCGTTTTGTCGAGAAAACCATATGGAACTATGAACTATATCGTAGTCTTAGCAAATAGGGTGGAGTCTTATTTTGTATCGTAAGACCTGGTATAATTTTCTGTTTCTTTGAAAATGATTGCATTTAATCACCGATACTCGTGACAGCCGTTATCTGAATTATCCATTTGATGAATAAGTGATTTCCTAGTGAACATTTTTACGCGTTACAAATTCTACTGGGATGTATCAAACTACTAAGCTGATCAAGTTTGATACACTGAAGAAAGTAATTAACCGTATTTAACAGTCAATTAAATCTGCATTAGGTTAAAAAAAATCACAGGCATGTCAATCAATATATAGCTAAAAATTACTGTGAAATTACTAATCTTTCAGGCAATGATTTAAGTAAGACAAAATATCTCATGGGAAGGTATACGAGTCAGATAACATTTTCGTAACACAGAAGTGCACTTCAAGGATACTTGTAATCAATTAATGCAACATGTTATATAACATTGGAAGAGTACTTTGTATAATCGACTAGTTCATTGATCTTAAGTAAATTTTAATTAAACTTTCATATGTAGAGAACATTATTCGTGTTATATTGCTTTTTCAATATCAAACCCATATCCTCCAGTGGGTACGATATTCCATAGTTTGGGTTTCCTATTACGATTTCCTTGAAAGAGGGTTGTTGCCTACAACGCAAGCAAGCTATTGAACAGAGGGTTTAAATGTTTAAAGTTGAAGTCCTCCCTTTGCAAATAGATAGCCCGATCCAGGATATTTGTGTCACAGATGAGCACGAATATGTTCCGATTGTCATAACAACATTCACGTACTATTACTCGATTTTGACATCATTATGTACTTAAATGAGCAACAAAACACGTCGCGTGCCACTAGTGTAGCTGTATCTGCTTACTATTTCGAGTTCAACTCCAGTTTTTGGTGGGTTCGTGTTGCTCAGTCTTTAGTTTCCCATGTAGTTTTTTGTGGTCTTCTTTTTTTTTCTTTTGATTCTTGCCATAACGTTGTCAGTTTATTTAGGTTTTTAAGTTTTGAATGTCTCCTTGGTATCTTCCGCCTCTTTTAATTATCTGATTAAGAAAAAGGAGAAACTAGTCATTATATATATTAATATGAATATATTCTTTTCATTTTATATTCTGAAATAAATAATTACCATCTCCTTGGTACTTGGCTCAGAAATGTTGACAGCAAATTACATGCAGATAGTTTTTTTGAAATGGTAAATACCAAGTATGTCAAATTTATATTCACTTGATTGTCCATTGAATGAAACCTACTAGTGAAACTACAGACGGAACAACATTAGTCATATATTTACAAAAGTTAAAAAGAAAAGACCATAATAGGAAGGCTATCAAATACCTTTTTTTCGAAATTAGGGCAACATCCTTACCAGGAAAAGAAGTACAGACACAACAGTTCATCAATCACTACAGAGTAAACCTAAGATTGAGCAACATTAAACCTACATGTTGCAGGATTATGTCAGGCAATTGGCTAAACGCGAGAAAGAAGACGTAGATACTTTTTCCGAATGGATTAAGGCTGTGAGGTCGTTGATATAAATCCGAATTAAGAAACTAAATGGGTCTATCAATATCCACGCTACGTCAATTTTTAAAGACCCAGATATTGCAAAACACTTGTCCTACTTCCATGACAAATATGTTGTTGTCCCCGCAGATAAAGCCCCAAACAACATCGTTTTTGTGTGTAAATATCATTACATAAACTACTTGATAAATGAATTAGGTATTGACAATTCACTTGGAAACTCAACATATATCCTCAAGAAACTTACCAAAGAGGAAATCCTGGATAATCATAGATCTGTTCTATGTTCCTTTGGAATTTCAACTAAAGATGAAAAACTGGATCTTCCACCACTGTATTGGATACCTAAACTACATAAGTGTCCTTACAAACAACGGTATATTGCTGGGTCTTCCAAGTGCTCCACGAAACTTCTTTCTCAATTATTAACATCTATTCTATCAGCAATCAAAGCCGAGCTTCAAAGTTATTGTGAAACTGCCTATTCTAGAGGTGGCGTGAATCAGATGTGGATACTAAAAAATTCCAAAGATCTTTTAGAGTACATAAAATCTAAGACTCTCTCATCTTGCAATAGTATTAAAACATTTGACTTTTCTACACTTTACACAAGTATTCCTCATTCCAAACTAAAAGAAAAATTGAAAGAGTTGGTATTGCGTTGTTTCATAAAAAAGAATGGCGAACGTAGATACAAGTATCTTGTCTTGGGGAGGAATAAATTCTACTTTGTAAAGAATCACTCTGATTCAAACAAAAAATTCTCTGAAACTGACATTATCAAGATGCCTGATTTCTTGATTGACAACATATTTGTTACGTTTGGAGGACGTGTTTTTCAACAGACTGTCGGCATTCCAAATTGGAACCAATTATGCCCCTCTTCTTGCCGACTTGTTTCTTTATTATTATGAGGCTGACTTCATATAGGAACTTCTTAAGAAGAAAGATAAGAAGTTAGCAATATCCTTTAATTTTACGTTCCTCTATATAGATGATGTTCTCTCACTAAATAATACAAAATTTGGTGACTATGTTGAACGAATCTATCCCATCGAACTAGAGATAAAAGATACTACAGATACAGTTAAGTCTGCCTCACACCTTGACTTACATCTAGAAATTGACAATGAAGGTCGATTGAAAACAAAACTTTACGACCAAAGAGATGATTTCAGCTTCCCAATTGTGAACTTTCCACTTCTATGTAGCAACATTCCAGCAGCGCCTGCATACGGAGTATATATCTCCCAATGATACGATATTCCCGGGCTTGTATTTCCTTTCATGATTTCCTTGATAAAGGATTGCTCCTCACAAGGAAGCTATTAAACCAAGAGTTCCAAATGGTGAAGTTGAAATCATCCTTTCGTAAATTTTACGGACGCCATCACGAGTTGGTTGACCGTTATGGAATAACCGTTTCACAGATGATATCGGATATGTTCCTTATGTCGTAACTACAATACCCTTTCCTTTTCACGAATGTGACCCACCGAATTAGACTATTTACCGGATTTGTAATAACATAAGCAACAAGACGGGTGCCACATGTGGAGCAGGATCTGCTAACCCTTCCGGAGCACCTGAGATCACCCCAAGTTTTTGGTTGGGTTCGTGTTGCTTATTCTTTAGTTTTCTATGTTGTGTCATCTGTACTATTATTTGTCTGTTTGTCTTTTTATTTTTGGCCATGGCGTTGTCAGTCAGTTTGTTTTCGATCTGTGAGTTTGACTGTCCCTCTGGTATCTTTCGTCCCTCTTTTGCATCTGCATATGGTTTTACATTAAACATTCAATTATATTGAAGAGTATTAATACTTCGCTTGCACATGTTAACAATACAACACCAATAAGCTGTCTTCATGTTGTATAAATTAATCACAGCGAGATGTTACAAAATATGTGTAATGTCATTAATCATGCTAAATAAAGCCAAGCTAACACAGTTTCTTGTTTTACCATTTCTTGCGTATATTTCTGACAACTACAACTTGCTACGAGGTATATTTGTAGACTGTAATTGTATTAAGTTTGCTGCATACATGTATTATCGATCACAATCGACTTGGTCTGCCGGAAGTTATTGTTTGCTATGTTTTAAGTAAAATAAAAGTTATATATACATATTTTATGGATGCAAACAAGTTACGAACTATGTATAAATCTTTGCAATATAACAGACGTGTACAAATAAAGCAGATAGTTACAATGCATGTACTAAAAATAGTTGATGATCAACTTGAATTAAATAAGGACATCTATAGGTGAATGGTGTCTTTATATTATCTGGGAAAATGCAACTTAAGTTTTTAACTAATGGTTTGATGTTCAATTGTTAATAATAACTAAAGCAAATTGTTTTATGTATTCGACCAGTACATGTACCTTTATCATAATGTATATTCAAAACTCTAATTGTAATAGCAGCGAGGCGAGAATGTTTTCCCATAGATCATCTCCCTAAATACACTGAACAAATGGAATTAGTTCTAAATAACACAAACTATTTGCAAAAAATCTTGCGTGATGTTAAATAGGAATTATCAATCACTCATTGCATAGAAGATCTTTTTATATCATTGTTTTTTAAAGACTTGATGATGTGATTAAAGTGTGTGTGAAAAAATCAAAAGAATCCCACTAATATATATGTCCTTTAATTGCTTAAATGTTTGACGGAAAACATTATTTCAACATTTTTTGCTGTTAGATTTTGAGGATTTGTTGATTGTTTGTTTGATTACCAACCAGTGGCCTATATTTCAACAGCCAAGAGATGGAGAGGGGAAAAATTTGGATTGCTACTGGAAAAAGAGTGGTTGTTGGCTAGGATTCCTTTTACATGTTTTAAAATGTTTTTGAAAGCTTAAGTGATATTTTTACTCACTGAAAGAGCTTGGCACTCATTCAACACCAAGCATTTGATTCAACGCTCACATTCCAGCCGGACGATTTGAGTATTTGACACATCCGTAAAATACGGACGTCTCGAGCGACAGTCGTACCCTTCAGTCGAAAATAACTGGGCCCACTCTCCATATCCGGAATCCCTGGAATATTTTAATTAGACTATGATACTATGTTCTGATTGATATATATTCTACTGTCATATGTAGTTTTCGCTTCACCAGAATCAGTACTTTGCACAAGACACCTAAAATATGTTCTTCCGCGGAATATATCAACGTTTATTAACTATGTTGATTGCATCTTCATGTCTCCATAATACAAATATCACGAATACAGTCAGGTCTTCGTCATACATTGAAAAATACCTTATCAAAATAGGCAGACGGTTGGAATCTAAACTGAACAATAAATTAGTTGACTACGATTTTTATCAATGTAAATAATCCATTTTACTTCAACAAGAGAGACGAAAGATACCAAAGGGACATTCAAACTCATAAGTCGAAAATAAACTGACAACGCCATGGCTAAAAAAGAAAAAGACCAACAGACAAACAATAGTGCACAAAACACAACATAGAATTTTAAAGACTGATTAACACGAACCCCACCAAAAACTGTCGGTGATCTCAGGTGCTCCGGAAGGGTAAGCAGATCCTGCTCCACATGTGTCACCCGTCGTGTTGCTCATGTTAGTACAAACCCGGTAATAAGTCTAATTCGGTAGGTCAAATATTCCGGTAGTTATAGATATGGGGTATTTACCTCTCATGATTTGTCGATATTTTTGTTTTGTTGAGTAGTTTCCAGACCTAGAATAGTTTAAAAAAGTAACTAAAATTAGCTGTTATTTATTACAAATTTTTTCAATTACATTTAAATATTTGCTCGGAAATTGTAAACATTTTTAGCTTTTTCGATGCAAACACACATCATATATGTTGAAAACAATAATGAAAACATCACATTTTTAAATACGTCATAAATCATCATAACTATCTTCATTCGTATTCAATTCATTAATTACTTTTTTCACAAACATAAAAACAAATCTAAACAATACAAAATTATTGACATGCTTGAATTTCAATGTGTAAATATGTTGTTCCAACAGTCAACTTTAATGTTAGCCTCAGAATGTTACCTTTCACTTAACGAATTTTGAAGCATATGAATGTCCCTTGATAAAAATGCCAAAGGCAATTTGTATTTCAAACCATCATATTTATATGTTAAAATCACTTAATGACATTTTAAACACTTTTTCCAAAATTTTAAATAAGGCATTTAAAACATACAAGAATGGAGTCCAATAGACTTGGCAATTTTGACTTGCTATTTGAAAAGTCTGGAAATTTTAAAGCCAAATGCTACCATCGCTCTTCTGTAATAACTGAAAATTTTATTAAAATATTGAGACTGACATGAAGACAAGTCAGAAAACCTTAAAATTTAAATTAGTCTAAAAAGACTAACAGACAAACAACACTACACAAAACAAAACATAGAAAACTAAAGACTGAGCAAAAACTGGCGGTGATCTCAGGTGCTCCAGACATGAAAGCAGATCCTGCTCCTCATGTGGCACCCGTCGTGTTGCTCATGTAATTGCAAACTCGGTAATAAGTCGAATTCGGTAGATCACATTCGGGTTAGAGGGACGGGATTGTAATTACGACAATTGGAACATATCCGCTATCATCTGTGAAACGGATATTCTATAACGGTCAACCAACTTGTGATGGCGTCCGTAAATTTTACGCAGTAAGGATTTCAACTTCACCACTTGGAACTCTTGGTTTTATAGCTTATTTGTGTCCAAATAGTACAGCAGCAATTAAATACTATTATAAAGCAGCTGTCATAAATTTATCTTAACTTATAGTTTAAAATAACCATACAAGTTTGCATGCCCTAACTATCACAGAAATACAAAATAAAAGAAAATCCGCTATTGTTACAAAAATATTCACAATAACATAAAAAATAAGAAAAACGGAAAAACTAAAGGAAAGATACAACAAAGACAAAAACAGGGATTCGAACCTGAACCGAAAAATCTCTACTTTTAATTTTACTCTACAACTCGTACATCTTTTTTTATCTTTATTATCAACTCATTCATCTAAACCTCACGGCTACCAACTTATACTAAACGATTGTCTATTATGTATATATAAAAGGTTCACGCCCTGTGTGTCCGTTGTACCGATGTGTATCAAATATTCATTGATATATATAAAATAGACATTCAAATTGCAACCCATTGGTAGCTGAAAGGTTTCGTCGATGTGTTAGTCTTACATAACAGTAGTCAAGGAGGGGTTCGATTCCAAGTGAAGGCATATAAAAATTACAAAAGTTATAGGTAAGTTTTTAAATTAATTCCATTAGCGAACAGAAATCAGTAAACTAGCCAATTCAAACTTAATAAAATTAAGGAAACACTTGCATATAATTCGGTAAGTCCATTTCAGCGACAGATTTAGGAAGCATTGATTCTAGAAAAAGAAATCACGGTATATGAATAGGCTGACGTCACGTCAATGGTTTAATGTAAAGTACAGGTTGACGTCGACATGATGAAAGTTGGTCCTTAGTTTGACACACATGTTAGAAAGAGCTAGGCTTGTATCATACTTTAAAAAATAAAAAGTCTACATACATTATATTTTTGCAGTGTCAAGTTAATCCGGTAATGTAAGATTGTAGAAACTTTGCAAGGGGAGGGACATGTATATTTACTGTATATAACAATCTTAAGAACTATATTAACTATTTATAATAATCTAAAGAAAACAGATATCGGAATGTATTTAGATGTTCCTAATCAGGCCGGATTTGTCCTTTTCAGACTGATTGTTAATACTCATCTTATCTGATATTGGCATCACATAAATAACCCTTTCATTCATTGATCTGCCGAATGTTTTATTTTCCCTTTACCATTGAAAACCATATGCTTCAGCTAGCTAGATAATTAGTAAATCGTCAATCTGATGGGTAATATTCAAGTATTAGATATAACCTAACTACTGTAATCAAGTTGATTTGATGGGTGTACAAAGTTTCCAATAGTTGTATGAAGATAGAATATGAGATGTATCCATCAGACAAATGCAATTTGAGGATGCAACTTCAATATACACTTAAGCATGAAATATGATGAATTAACAGATATCTTTAGAAGAGATTAAGTCAATAAAATATTCTATCAGACGAAACAATTGCATTTGATACAAAAAGCACAATCAATGTAACAAGTACTTCTTGTATTCTTTTGATAAATGATGTGTCAATGTCTTATTGATAGAAGTAACAAGGTCAAACAAAACAGTGTGTGTTATCCTTAACGATATCAGATTAATACTCTTGTTTGTTTTCCATCAAAGAATAAGTAGGATCAAAACCTTGTTATAGCGGTAAGGGATTCTGTTCATCGTTGCAATATCGCGCCACAGTTATTTCATGTTCTCAGGTTGTCTCGGTTTTGAAACGGACTATATGTACCGATTGATATTTAAGTCTTAGATACATGAATGTTTTATTAGTTGTTATTGGCTTTGAAATAGATTTCAATACCTGCGAGTACTCTCAGATATGTGTTGTCTTTTTTGTTTTTGCTATACAGAATATATTTAACCTACATATGGCAATTGTGAAGTAAAGTCATTCACATGTTCCATAACAACACACACAAGTAAAGAAGAAAGTCCAGAGAAACTGGCGAATATGTGCCAAAAAATTAGAGACGACAAAAAAAAAACAAATTAAAAAAACACTTTATAGAAAACTTAAGACTGAGCAATCAGAACCCCATCAAAATTATGGGTGACCTCATGTCATCTGTAAGGGTTGGCAGATCTTGATCCACTAGTGGCACCTGTCGTGTTTATCTTTGAAAGTACAAATTTGGTGATGAGTCTCATTCGAGGATGTCACCATCGATGACAAAAGGACGGGATTGTAGTTACGCTATCTGTGACATAGATATTCTATAACGGTCAACCAACTCGTGATGGCGTTAGTAAATCTTTCGAAGGAATGACTACGACTAACACACCTGTAACCGTAGTTTCAATAGCTTTATATTTCACACCTAAAAAATGACCTCCGAATCCCCGGTTATATCATAAAATATAATTAATCACACAAATTAACAGAGAAAGTAAATGTTTTCTTTGTCTCTCTCAGCATTTATGCTCTTGAAAAAAACAAAACATACCATGCAAGGCACTTTCTAAAAAAAGGGCTGTCCTGCAGTATATTATTTCACTTGTTCTATCCTGTGGTCACTTTAGTTTTATGAATGATATAAAAAAGTGAGTCATTCCAGATTTAGATTTTCACAACGTTCCAAATCTTTGACATGCATATTTTAAGTAAAGTTTCAGTTGCTAATTCCGTACAGAAGTTAAAAGAATATAAGTCCTTTTTTAGTGGGGTGTGGTTTCGACGAGAAATGTTTTGCATGGTACAAACGCTTGTTTGTCTTCATAGAAAATATGATATCATTTCAAGGCAAATCAAACGAAATAAGTGAGAAAGTTATGTCTAAATATGGCAGATCTGCATATTTTGAACACTACACGATCATTTAATCGTTAAACAACAAGATTTGTCGGACGCGATTATCTATTCTGATATTTTATCATTCTTGTAAGCCAAAGAAAACCTTTTTCTATTGTCATGGCATATATATGTCTCACGAACACTTAATAGGCTCATGCAATTTTCTTTAACCGAATTGGTGCACCAAAACGAATATGTGCTTCTTAATATAACGTGATGTTTATTTATATTGACAGTATATGATATTAATTGGAATCCTAGCATTTGTTTTAAGATCATTTATATGAAATGTGACATTCATTATCAATCTCATATATTTTATATTTGGAAAACTACTGTCTTGAGTAAGAGCAAAAGGAAAATACTGTTATAATATTGTCAGATGTTTCCTGTTGTATCTACTGTTTTTATTCTAACATTTTCGAATGCTATAAGTACTTTTTATTCTACCATGCTGTAATTTATTTCAAGATATACAATATTTATTTAGATGTTTTAATTTTGAATAGGAGTGAAAAAAATGTTTGTAATTTTTGATAAACTGTGGTCCCCTGAAGTTATGTTTGCCTTTTTGTGGCATTAATGGTTTCTTTATTCATTGTATGAAACTCTTACATTATCTGATAATTTGAAGAGAAATTTCCTTATTAATTGATACTAAATGGTCTTTCGATAATATTGGTGTAAATGTATCCGTTGTACACGTTACAAACAACATTTGTTAAACCTTATTTCTACGTGACATGGAATGTGCATAGCAGTTTTTCGGTTAAAAATATGTTCGCTCGTTTTGGCCGTAAAGTATATATAATTATTAGATGACTGGTATATTTAGACGGAGACAACATATAACTATGTCCATCATATCACAGATTTCTTCCTTAACTCATGATACGCAAAAAGTGACTTATGATTGACCCAATGATTCACAACTTTTTTTTACTATAATATCTGAATGTTAGCGGCAATAAGTAAAATTAGGCAATTAGCTTAAATCCTAGGCAATAAGTTAACGCCTAGGCATTAAGTTATTGACCGACATTTTCAGGCATTAAGCTTATTCCCTGAAATCTGATGATGACTATTCAACCTATTGCCAAACGCCACTTCAGGCAATAAGTGAACTTTGGAATTTTTGCTTTATCGTCCATGTAAATGTACATTTGTTGAAATATTCTTGATGTAAAGTGTTGTTTATATCATATTTCAAATATTAATATACATAATTTAACAGATCTTCAAATTTTAGTATTTTTTTCATATTCATATCAGCATGAACTTGTAGTTCTTTGTGGCATTACAGAAATTGATATGTTTCAAACAAGTGAGTGTATCTAATGAAAGGAAGGGGATTGATGATTCTATCTGAAAAAATATTTGAAGAAAATTCGCTGGTCGAGTTGGTTATGGTCTAGTCAAAAGTAGACAAATGTATACATGAATTTTTACTCACATCATCTTTCCATTGATTTTATTGGATATGTTAAACTTTATTTTTAAATTGTTTGTTAAATTCTCCTAGGCATACGTGTCTTTTTCACTTTATTATCTATATTATTAGCATTTAAGTGAAATGTCTACTGAAGATAGATTTCTTGAATCTTTACGGTCTAAATTTGAATCAGTGAAAAAAAGGAGCATAATTCCATCGAACTATTTCTTTTACTTTGTGAAACTTGTAACACGAAGACAAAGTATTTAGGGAAGGAAGTAGCAGTAAAACCTATTTTATCCAAAGAGTTCAACAGTAGAGGGCAGGTTGATTTAATAGATTTCCATTCAAACCCAGATGAAAACTAAAATATTCTATAAAAATCACGTACCAAAAGTGTGTAATATTAGAGCTCTCACGTCAAAATGTGCTTCAGATGTAACTTTCGATTTAATTGATGTTTTCAAAATTTTTGGTTTGTCCCATAAACTGCTATTAATGACAATGGTCGTGCATTTACAGCTTTGGTTATATCCGAGTTAAAACTAAAGTGGCTGGAACTAGTGACTTTATTTCAGGTAGTTGATATTTAAAATTCAGTTCGTTTTGTGTAATTACGTACTATATGTATTTTAACCTTGAATATGTCTTTTTATTTACTCGCATTTACATTTTAGACATTAAGATTAATGCTTGGACACATTTTTCAGGATTTAAGCTTAAATCCTAGGATTTAAGAATAATGCCTAGCATCATTTAGGAAATAGACTTACAGCCTAGTCGTTAGCTTATTGCCTAGGAATCAAGCTTAATGCCTAATTTCACTTAATGCCGCTGACATATAGATATTAAAGGGACATATAATTTGAAAACAAATCAATCTGAAAATCAATCTGAAATCGTTGAAATTAGACATAAGAATTTCTAAGGAAGTACATTTAGTCATGCTTATATTTTGGACGATCAAGAACTTGGCTTAATTTTCCAGTCGTTCATAATGATGTCCTATTAAACTCTTAATGGGTCAATATTTCTAAGTAACAGCAATTTTCGTTTCGCATGTTTGTTGATATTTCAAAGTTAGCTTCTATAATCGGTTTCATCGAGCGAAACATGTTTCCTTTTAATAGCTCTTACTTAGGTTGGCTACGTATTGTCACTTTTGATTGATTTTTCTGTGCAGTGTTTAGTAGACGTATTTGTCTGTTCGTCCTTTTTTCTTTCGGTAGGGTGTCTCTTTTTCGTCGATTTATGGTTATGGTTCACCCTTGATTTCCTTTTTTCACCAAGGATATCGAGATCATAAGTACAAAAAAATGTAGGTGAAATTAACATACATATTGGGACGTATGGTGAATATATGACTTCGCTTATATATGTTGATACCATACCACATCTGTGTTTGTCAATTAACAGTTGTAGCGTCATAATATCCAGCATAATCTCCACCTTCAACCGGATAAACCGTCTTGAACTTGCATCACATTTATATGTTGAACCAGTCGATTGCTGCATGTACTTTTGTACTGGTAGGAAAAAAGGAAAATTGTTAAATAAAAGTTGCTGTTATAACACTAAGAGAATTATTTTATATTAAGGAATTAATCCCCATAGGCTTAGCTCTGGTTGCTTGTCCGAGTTTGGCTATACTCTTCGGTTATATCAGCTCTTACAAACTTGTATTAGGGTTTGTTTTTTAAATATTTTACCAAGAGCATTACAAAAGAGACATAAACTGTCGAAACACACATCTGTTGCAGTACAATTGTCCATAAATCAACCCTCCATTACCTGATGTCTTAGAATATTTACACTCAGGAGTTTGGTTAGGTTGACCTTATAATATTGTCTAAAGAAATCCACATCCGGGCAATTTAAGAAAAAAGCAAAATTGTTAAATAAAGGTTGCTGTTATAACGCTAAGAGAATTATTTTATATTAAGGAATTAATCCCCATAGGCTTAGCTCTGGTTGCTTGTCCGAGTTTGGCTATACTCTTCGGTTATATCAGCTCTTACAAAATTGTATTATGGTTTGTTTTTTAAATATTTTACCAAGAGCATTACAAAAGAGACATAAACTGTCGAAACACACATCTGTTGCAGTACAATTGTCCATAAATCAACCCTCCATTACCTTGATGTCTTAGAATATTTACACTCAGGAGTTTGGTTAGGTTGACTTTATAATATTGTCTAAAGAAATCCACATCCGGGCCATTTAAGAAAAAAGGAAAATTGTTAAATAAAAGTTGCTGTTATAAAGCTAAGAAAATTATTCTATATTAAGGAATTAATCCCCAAAGGCTTACCTCTGGTTGCTTGTCCGAGTTTGACTATACTTTTCGGTTATATCAGCTCTAACAAAACTTGTATTAGGGTTGGGTTTTTTAAATATTTTACCAAGAGCATTACAGAAGAGATATAAACTGTCGAAAAACACATCTGTTGCAGTACAATTGTCCATAAATCAACCCTCCGTTACCTTGATGTCTTAGGATATTTACACTCAGAAGTTTAGTTAGGTTGACCTTATAATATTGTCTAAAGAAATCCACATCCGGGTCCGTATATTTATGATTTGTATGTTTAATTAACAATGAAAATAAGATCAAATCAAGTGAGAATTATATTGAGTATATTATTTCAACATCAACACCATATGCATACATTTTCTAACTTAGTTAAGATATTCCAAAAGCTACTTTATTTCCTTCATTGCCAGTTTTACCTTTTTCCAATTTGAATTTTTTTCTACTTCTAAATAGAATCATTTTTAGCTTACCTGACACTATGGGTCAAGTAAGCTATTATCATCACTTGGCGTCCGTTAAATTTTACCAAAATATTTTCCTCTGAAATACTGAGGCAATGGAACCAAACTTCGCTACGATCACCATTGAGGAAACAGGTTAAAATCTTGTTTCCGATGATCCCGCTTCAAATAAGATATAAGGGTAAAATACAATTTGTATCTATTATCTTTTAAACTGCTATAGATTGGAAAAAAAATCTGACAGATTTGAAATGTTTAGAATGATAATCTTCATTGGTCAATATAAATAAAAAATGTCAGACGACTTCTTATAGGAGTTATTGCCCTTAAATGACGATGTTTGCGTTTTCTGCGTTTTCTTTTTGGAAACTGATAAATAGAAACTTTTAACAACAAAAATGATTAGCTAGACCAGATATGCAAATAAGTCCACATCGCTAAAATCTTCAGTTGACTCATTATAGGAGTTATTGCCATTCAATGACGTTTTTTTATAAATGTTTTGCCTCATTGCCTATTATTTCGAAAATTCTCATAGATAGAGAGAAACCTCGAAAGCTAAAATGATCCACAAAACAAGATCTACAAATAAGTCAAACTGCTGACATTGTTGCTCGACTCTTATAGTAGTTTATATGACATTTTTCTCCCATTATGCATTTTTGGGGAAAACTTTGGTGAATAAAGAAAAACTGTAATCAGTTAAAAAGAAACTTTAGTCATGAATGATAGTTGAAGATGCTCATATATCCATGTGTGCAGTACATGCTATGTAGAACCTCTTCTCTAGTTAGATCACCTGGACCAATGTAAATTCAGGGAGATTAACCCTATTCGTTTTTATAGTATTTATTTCATGTATTTTCTAATTGTTTTGTGCGTTTATTTCGGTAAATGTATTCCTTTTTGTTCTTTTTGTGTTAGACAACGGTAACAATTATCATTTAACAAATTGTACCTGTCTCTTGTTCTATACCAAAAGATAGTTCAGATGAAAGTATCTCCACCAGCAGAAATATGAGTGTACGAGAGACAAGATTTCTAATACATTTAATATTAGCGACAGTTCGAACAAAATGAAGATGGCATGCAACAACAGGTCAATTAGGTTGGAAATTTATAACACAATTTAAGAGACAATGCATATAATATTGTCTCATATAAGAGTCGGGAAATGTGAATAGCTAAAATAACTGATCATGTGCCTCTATTACTTGAAAAACAAGATTATATTATTTCTATATTTTATTTACAGAGAAGTATAAGGAAACATTACGTAAATTATATTTTATGTCAACATTAAAACGGTTGTTTATAGATAAAACCAAGTAAAACGTACTGTTATCCATGTCGTTGATTTTGCTTCTTTCAAAAGTTTTAAAAAGTTAGTTTGATTATCTTTCGAATTCCATAAACGCATTCTTTACAAATCCACCTTTAATTCAATATGTCATCAAAGACAGCTTACATAACATTTAAATCTTTTTTACTTAGATTTGTATAAAACAGTGATAAGATTGACACGTTTTATTATATCAGTCAGCATTTAAATTCGAATTGATACTCGTACTAAAATTATTTCGAAAATATATTTAATTTATTTATAGGTTGCACTTTGTAAATACAGCTGTTTCACAAGCCACGCCTCTTTTGGGGAGATATATAATATTCATAGATATGTTAATTTGTTAACGTACTGGTTCCCAGATATGATCTCTGTGTTTCATCTCCTAGAGACATAATTTGGGATTGTTACCAGTATAGAAAAACATGGCAGCGCTTAAATTTAATTCTTAGGAGGTCCAAAAGTGGAAGTAGGGGTAGTATAGAATTTTAGTATAAGTTTAAACTCTTAGAAGTTCAGGGCATATAAATGTTGAAAATATGCCGCACAGCCTTATATTTTGACCTTTGAATAAAATAGTAGTGCATATCAACTTTCCGTTCTGGGATATAATTTTTCACGAAACTTCATTGTCTATATTTACATAATTGCAACCTATAGGGATTCTATTTGCTAATATAATAAACTCAAATTGTTGCATGATCTACTGAAACTATTTTTGACTCAAGAAAGGAAATGAAAATTCTCATCCCGGCACCAATTACAATGCCTTTTGAAACTATTTTAAGTCATGTTATACTGTGTAACACAAACAATTCAAAAAAGATTAAATATTGCAGCAGTACATCTTGAAATGCAAAATTGCGTGATGTTATCGTTAACCTGTTTTCTAGGTACTTTTAATCAAATCAACGGTTTAAATACACAAAACCCTTTCGATACTTCAACTTCCTTTGGCGAAAATAACATGAGGCGGAATCAAAGAAGGTTTGTTCTTGCTCAGCTGCACCCATTGTTTTTTCATATCATTCAAAGAACACAGAAATTCAAACAAGATACAGCACTTGATTTGGAAACAAATATAATACCGCTAGTACGTAATACATTGTAATATGGATTGATGAAAATAACAAAGTTTTAAATTTTACCAGCTTAACAAAAAAGTGATAATATGACACAGCATGGTACATGCAGGACATTTCATGTTTAGCTTACGGAGCCCAAAGGGTAGTCGATCGTAGTAAACTTTTTTTCAAATATCTTCTCTGGAAATATTCAACAAATGTAAACCAATCATTTACATGGTTTAGTCAATGGTCCTTATGTTACATGTACATGTATCTAGTATAGAATTTGTGTGTTTGTTTTGGTTAATCAACATATCTAAAAACAAAAACATAAAATACAGTCAAAGAGAGGCAAAAGATATCAAAGGGACAATCTCAAACTCATAATTCGAAAATACCTGAAAACTGACAACGCCATAGCAAAAACAAAAAAGGAAAAGACAAACAACAGTATACAAAACACAACATAGAAAACTAAAGACTGAAAAACACGAACCCCGCTTAAAACAAGGGGGTTATCTCAGGTGCTCCAGAAGGGTAAGCAAACCCTGCTCCACATGTGGCACCCATCGTGTTGCTCATGAAAGAACAAACCGGCGACCAATCTAATTCGGAACGTCACAATCGCAGACGAAATGAATAAATTAACTGTTTTATATCTTGAAAACTTGACAGGGCACCAGTGCTAAGAATGTCCATATCTCACCTATTTCCTGTTTGCCAAAATCTATCAGTTGACTCTTAAAGGTTATTGGCTTTTAAGGACTTTGTTTGGCTCATTTACATGTTTTACCTATTATCTCAGGAAGGTAGAAGGGCAAACATGATCAGCAATACAAGTTCTACAAAAATGCCAATATCATTTGAAGACTGCATGACTGTTTGAGAAGCTATCGGTTTTAAATGACGATTTTTTACAAATTTTAATGTTTATGCCTTTTATTGTGAAAACTATAATAGCTAGGTAGAAACAGCAAACTGCAAAAATATTTAAAAATACAAAATTTGGTGAAGCGATCCTTAGGTATATAGTACTTAGTTTGATTTGTTTTCCAAGTCAGTCATCAACTTGGCTGCCATTGCTAAAATAGAACACAATTATGTAGAGTTTTCAGGATTCCCTTACTTCCTTTTTTCATCATTTTTTTCAGATGACTTCTGAAGGAGATATAGCCATCAAATGACGATTTTTAAAAATTATCATGCTTTTGCGAATTATCTAGAAAATTAAGATAAATAGGTAGAAACTGTTCAGGGAAAATATTATCAGTGATACAAGATCATTAATTGCAATATAATGAGCTATTTAAGAGCTACTAAATGCCCGATGTAGTTGAAACCATGGGATGACTCATTAAGGAGTAGTTGCTCTTTATT